CATATATATATTTAACGGAGCGAGTGAAAAGCATTTCCGTTAATAATAATTAAATCAATAGGCAAAAATTAAATTATACACGTACATACATGTATATATACGCGTACGGTCGGTCGTAATTTCTAAACGCGATTGCGAAGCGAACCGACCGATTTCGTAAGAAAAGCGTATATATACGGCTTTAGAAAGACGTCAACTACACGATTCGGGCACGAACGACGTGCGAAAAGACGAAACTGTCGGAGAAAACGAAAGAAATCGGCAAAAAAGTCCGGCCGGGAGCGTATTTTGCGATCGACATTGCGACGGCTACGGACGGCGAACGGATATAAACCGCACACCGGCGGCTTCGAGAGATCGCGAGCTACGCGAATCAAATATGAATATGAGCGAAAAAGGCTAGAAAACGGTCGAAATCGTGTAAAAAGTGTAAATTTCGAAAATTTCGAAAATGATAAGAAAAGAAGTGATAACGCGGTTATTGCCCGCCGCAGAATCTGAACGTTGCGATTGGCCGGGCCGGAAAAACGACACAAAGTCGTCTATCCCCGTGGACAAAACTGGGGACTAACCTCGTTTTATAATATAAGAGACTAGCTCTCCGAGCGTCGCTGGGGGACACCCCCAGACCCCCGAGAGTTGGTCATTAGTGTTTTCGATTACGGAAGCAGCGGTGGTCTCGTGGTGCGGTAATGGGTCTCGGCCGACACGGTGTATGGGTGCTGAGGAGGTATGGTGATAAGGATGTATGATAAGGCTAGGAGTGCCTAGGACCACTGCGGTTTGAATTGGTAGCTCGGGCAGGCCATCCGGACGGCCGGGTCGTCGAGTAGCGGACAAAGTCTTTGACAGAGTCTTTTCGACAACGCCGCCGGAAATTCGAAATTTCGTAAAAAAATAATACAGTCGTTGAATTTTTGTGGGTGTCTAGCCATGTCTTCGCCTTAGTAATAGTATTTGGGGTCTATCAGGTCAGTCACGTTCCTCGACTTTGGTCTTAATCACCCTGGAAGGCAATCCGACAATATTCGACGGCTGGGGCATAAATTCAAAATAATTCCGTCGTCTATCCAAATCATACTGCCACCGTCTTTTTATTTGGTTTCTAGCAGGTCACCCATCTATGTTATCCGGGTAGTGACGGCGGGTTCAAGGCATCGGGGATATAATTTACGTGAAAATAAGTATTAGGGTCTAGCAGGTCAGTCACCTTCCTCGACGAAGTCGGATTGCGTACAATATTCGACGGCTGGGGCATGTCATCACGTATGCGATTCGATGCAGTTCATTCGGACGACGTTTTTTTAAAACGCAAAATTTAGTAATAAATTACGTGAAAAAATATTCAAAACATTTCGGGCGTCCATGCAAATCATATAGCCACCGTCTTTTTATTTGGTGTCTAGCAGGTCACCCGTCTATGTTATCCGGGTAGGCAATCCGACTCGATGTTGGACGTAGTCACTCGGGTAGACTTCGTGACGACGTGTTACGGCTTACTCACGACCAACAGGTATGCAATCATTACTGACAGCGTTCATTACTGTTACTGAAAAAGCAAAAGTAAAGATCAAATTACGTGAAAATAAATTCAAACAGGTTAGTCACCTTCCTAGACGTTGGAGGTAGTCACAATGTGTGACGTCCGTATAGCAGACAATGTTTTTTAGTGTCGTCGTAATAAGTAACTCGAAAAAAATAATAACATTTCGGGTGCCCGTGCTAATCGTAATATAGCCGCCGTGATCAGCTGTCGAGTGTCTAGCAAGTCAGTCACCTCGATTGATGATAACACGCATAAGCAATCCGACTTAACGTCAGATCCACTACTCCGAAGCCGGCTCGTAAATGAAAATAGTATTTTTACCGTGCCAAAAAATGTAAGTTCACTGTGGTGTTCACGACTAACTCACCCGTTAAATCATCTATATTCTTACTTTATATAACAAAATATATTATTTATTACTATACTATATCCATTGAGTACACAATGCAAACGACATGCATACTTACGTGCATCTACATAAGACATAATTCATAACGCATCATTATAAAATATATGCCTATGCTAAAACCCGATTGTCTGATGGATATGCACTTAAAATCACTGATAAGGCCCGTAATCACTAACGAATAAACGAAGGTGTTCTGAAATAATAGCATACTGTATTTCCATCAAGAATTTCAGCGTTGCATTGCCAAAGGCGCAACAATATAGAAGAGAAACTCGATCAGCTGGTCGGGGTTTTGTTTCCCTGCGAACCTCCGAAAAACATGGAAACGCTTCCGCGCACCAACATGGTGTTAGACCCGAGGTCTCCCGTATTATGTGAACGTTTGATAAAAGTCGCGCCTGCGGTAATGATATAGCGATAGCGGGCGGACCGACGATAAACGGTCGGTGATAAGGCTTTGGCGGTATGTTTGAAAACCGTGTTTGCGTGTGTATCAATAAATTCGAGTGATGGGCTATGGCATTATTATAACCATATGAAAACATTTTGCAAAAATGAAATAAGAACGATGGCCAAAAGTGTAAGTTTTAATGCCGTGTTCGAAAGAATAATAAAAATATAAAATTTAGATATAATATGTCTATACAATAAATTAGTTTATCAGCCGTGCGATTTCATTACCCCCATTGGTTACCTGCCTTGACTCTTGTTATTGTCGCCGTTCTAAGACAATGGACTGTGCCGACGTCCGACTAACCGTTCTCAAACGTCCTACTGTCGTTGAGCAGATCTGTACATATCTGCTCCTGTTATAGTTCTGCTCTACTGTTTTTAGCTGTACCTACTACCTACATTAAAACAACGGAATCACGTGAGTATACAATGTAATATCAATGTTATAAATATTCTATTGTTAATTTAATTCGTTTGCTTTTGAAAACATGCTTTCCGTTTAACGAATTTAATATTTTATCTTATAGTTTCGTTTTACTATACACTTTCTTTATTGCTTTTTATTTGTCAACTTCAGAATGAGTAACAACGTATAAAACATTAGCGGCAATTGCCAAGCGTACATCGTACAGCGTACGCGGATCGTATATATCAATTAAAATATAAGTGTTTTAATATACACTTTCTTTATTTCTTTTTATCTATCCACTTTAGAATGAGTATAATAAGATACATTGGATTGTTTTTTAACACGTCCAACGCGGATCCTTTTTATGAATTAATAATATCTTATTATAATAATATATAAATTTGCGGAGAAAATCGAGCCTTAGTTTTGTTTGTAACACATGGTTTCTGTGAAACAAATTAAATATTTTTCCTATTTTTTTTTTTTTTTTAACACGTTCACCTACGATCGCATTAATCAAATAATATTGTTATAAAATTTACATTTGCGAAGAAAACCGTGACTTAGTTTTAGTGTGCACCACATGCATTTTGTTTAACGAATTTAATATTTTATAATATCACCAACATATCATAATAATACCGACAGATCACTTAAAGTTTCGTTTTACTATACACTTTCTTTATTGCTTTTAATTTGTCAACTTCAGAATGAGTAACAACGTATAAAACATTAGCGGCAATTGCCAAGCGTAGGTACATGAGGTACATTATTTATAATAATATAAAAGTTTTAGTATACACTTTCTTTATATTTTTAGAATGAGTATAATAAGATACATTGGATTGTTTTTTAACGCGTCCAACGCGGATCGTATTTATGAATTAATAATATCTTATTGTAATAATATATAAATTTGCGAAGAAAATCGAGCCTTAGTGTTGTCTGCAACACATAGTTTCTGTGAAACAAATTAAATATTTTTTCTATTTTTTTTTTGTTTTTAACACGTTCACCTCCGATTGCATTAATCAAATGATATTGTTATAACATTTTAGAGATGGGATGATTCGATCATTTGAATGATTCGAATCATTCGAATCGAATCAGTCAAATGATTCGTTCATTTGATTCGTTCATTCGGTCACTTATCTAAATTGTTTATTATCGTTCAAAAGATTCGTTTGAATGAACGAATGTTTCGTAACAGTATCATACTGCTACGAAACATACTGTCAGACGTCAGTATGACTTTATGACTCATTATCAACTATTTTTTTTAGTTTTTCTAATGATCGATAATCTTATATCATCAATATACACAAGTGACAAGCGTAGCGTACCCAAATGAGTTAATAAAAAAAAAAGTATTATAATATACCCATTTGAATACAATAATAGTGCTAAAAATAAAACACAACACACAACCAACTAGTAACTACCTATGTCTACATATATAATTTGCTAATTTGCATTTTGCTTCTCTGTGAAATATTTTTTTCTATTAATACCAACAATAATGAAATTATAAAACTATTTTTAAGTGGGAATAATATTAAATGAAGAACTCTTACCATAATAATACAAAATTATTATTATTATTTCAATATTAGGCATTTGACAATTGACTATTGTCTATTACACAGTTAACACTATTGTTTTCCATAGTATGAAATTGTTGTGAGTGTAAATTGGTTTGATTACCTATATAAATATATATATATGTACAATATTTTATTTTGATAATTTTTTTAACTATTTATTTATTGATTGATACATATTACATCTATTAACGGTAAGTATTGAAATAATTGAATTATTAGGTACCTAGTTAATAATAATAATAATTATTTTTTGCAACCCTATTTTTTATTTAAAATTCATTATAATTAAATTTAATACATTTCTACAAAATTTATCTTGCTTGTTTTAATGTTATTATATTATTAATTTTAGTTTAAGTACTAAAATTGATGTAAAAAATGAAAATCATAAAATTTACTTAACATTTCTTTGATAGCTTAAAATATCCATTAAAATTGTAAATCTTTCAGTCTCATACAAGAATAAAAAAATAAAAAAAAAATAATATTATTATTATAAACATTAATACATAGATTTGTTATTGCAAACACTTAACAATCATGTTTTTTATTTTAATTAATAAGGTAAAACTAATTAAAATGCTCACAAAAAAAAGAAGTCATATTTGGAACCATTTTACCATAATTGATCAAAAATATGCAAAATGCAGTTATTGTTCCAATAAAGTTAGTTATGGTGGTGGTTCAAGTGGTAACTTAATTCGTCATATGAAAACAAAACATATAACAGTGCCACTTGAACGAAATGTGCGGCAAGAAGCTCAGGATCTAGTAACTGAGCAAAATGTTGATGATCCTAATAGCTTGGGAACAACTGTTTCTAATTCTAATCAGCTAACAATTTCATCTAAATCATCAACAAATTCTGAACCAGCCCGCCCGTCCATAAGTACATCACAATCAATAGTTCGTCAACCAGTCCAGGCTTCTATGAATTCCTTCATTCAAAAACCTATAACAATTTCAAAGTCAAAAAAAATTGATACACAAATTTCAAAATTAATTATTAAGCATTATCATCCTTTTAGTTTAGTCGAAGAAACAGAATTTAAAAACTTAATAAATTTACTGGCACCTGGGTACACACTTCCGAGCAGAAAAACCATATCTAACAGTTTAATACCTCAGTTATACGAGTCTGTAGTAAGTGAAATAAAAGAAAATATAAAAAATATACAAGCCATTTGTCTTACTACAGATGCATGGACATCTTTAAATAATCAATCATTTGTAGCTGTTACTGCTCATTATATTGATGAAAATACAAAGTTGTCATCAATTCTGCTAGGATGTCACCATTTTCTTGAAAGACATACAGCGGTAGAAATGTCTTCTTTTTTAAAAGATATAGTGAGAAAATGGAATTTAGAGAATTTAGTGACAATGGTTGTAAGCGACAATGCATCAAACATCATTGCAGCAATTAAATTATGTAATTGGAGAAGTCTAGGATGTTTTGCTCACAGTATAAATTTAGTAGTTGAATCAGGTTTGAAATATGAGGATGTGAAGAGTATAATTGCAAAAGTAAAGGCCATTGTCCAATATTTCAAACAGAGTAGCCAAGCTTTAATCCGTCTTAATGACAATCAAGTAAAAGGAGGTCATCCCATACTAAAATTAAAACAAGATTGTCCAACCAGGTGGAACTCTACATATGATATGATAAATAGGATTTTAAAAATAAAGGAGCCAGTTTTGTCCACATTGGCAGTCATAAATAATGATCTTAATAATATCACCAACTATGAATGGAATATTTTAGATCACCTATGCAAATTATTAAAAATATTTTATGATATAACAAATGAAATAAGTTGTGAAAAATTTGTATCCATATCTAAAGTTTTAATATTTTCAAAAGCAATGTCCAACTATGTCTTAGTTTACTGCAATGATCAGAGTATGCCATATGAAATAAATTCAGTGGCAAATATATTACATACAAAATTACAACAAAGATTCAATCAGTTTGACGATAATGATGTAGTCATACAATCAACCCTACTGGATCCGCGATTCAAAAAACAAGGGTTTGTAAATGACAGAAAGTATGAAATTGCCTATGAGTCTCTGTCACGTAAAGTTCAAGGAATTTCTATTGGGAAAGATAGTCAAGAACCAGAGATCAATACACCATACAGTGAACCTGCTGGATCTGAAACAATTTGGAAAGATTTTGATAGCAAAGTGAGCAAACTATCTGGTGGTGGCCATTCAACTGTGGCTGGTATATTAGAACTTGACCGGTACTTGGCTGAACCACTCTTAAAAAGAACAGCGGATCCATTAGTTTGGTGGCATGAAAGAAAATTATTATACCCAAGACTATACCTATTGGCATGTAGAAGGTTATGTATTGTAGCAACGTCCGTTCCATGCGAACGTATATTTTCAAAGGCTGGCTTGGTGTTGACTGATAGAAGGTCTAGACTGAATACAGATAAAGTTGAAAAAATATTATTTTTAAATCACAATTTAAGTTAGACTTAATTTGTTTTTTTTTATTATTACAATAATGATAATGTATAATGTTGTCTAATAGATGTAAGCACTACCTATTGACTATCAAAAAAATAATTATATATTTAATATTTAATAATATATTTATTTTATACTAATTAGTAATTTGATGTAATTTTTGACTTAAGAAAAAGAAGAATTAAACTTAAAATTAGTTTTAAACCTCAATAGGTATAATATAATAATTTATTAATTAATATTTATTAGTAATATAATGTTTTATCATCATAAAAATATAAAAGATATTTCAAAATAATAAATAATAAAATAGCTTTAATAACTAATCAAACTTTATTAACAATTAAAAATGAAATGACATACCTAATCAGTCTTTTTCTTTTCAATTGATATTGTGGTGCGCGTAGGTTTTAAGTGATGTTCACGCAACTTACGCGGCCAACATAAACAGGGGGGATGAAATAAATACACTCGGGTCGGTTTTGCGAGTAGACGGTATTTATTGTAAGTCAGATGTTAATGAACAGTTTTGATTAGCCAGTGGCGAAAATGTCGGCGGCGCTCGGGTGCGGCGTCATGTGAGTCGTGGGCGCGCGGTGTCGTCGTAGGGTAAAAACCAAAGTCGTGCCTCGGGGTGCCGTGAGCGTACCAGTGGTAGCGGCGGCGTGCTTGCGGGCGTGCTGACGTGGTTTTTAGACGGGACGACGAAACGCGGACACGTGCGTCATTGTGCGGCGGTTTTTGGACGGCGTCGAAACATGGCGGCGGGACGGACTGTGCACGTCGTGTACGTCGGTTGACGGTTGCCGAGCGAGAGACAGCGTTGGCAGCCGCCCGACACTTCGGGGTCGCGAACGACGCGGAGGGCCGAGCGGTGTTGCCAACACAGGGAGCGCGACCGACATAGGGAGGGAGCATGTGGTGAAACACTGGTTCGCCACATTACTCCCCCCTTTAAAAAAAGAAAAATATTTACAGATTTTTTTTGGTTTAACAATGTAAGAGAGCCGATGAAAAATAAAGTTGAGCTGTTGACGAAGATGGAAAGTTGACGGTGGTTGAAATGTTGACGGAAGTTGAAATTGCAGGTGAAGCCGGAAAATGAAAGTGGAATGGAATGTAGACTGCCGGAAGGTTGAATGATGAGTTGATGGTGAAGCTGAATTTTGACGAGGCGAGAAACCGATCGCGCGATGAGCGCGAACTCTTAGCCGCCGTGTACCCGTGCCGTACTTACACGCGCACGTGGGCTGTGGCAGTGCCGTTGTAGCAACGATACGCGTGCGTTCCACACAGGCGGGTGGTGGGCGGTTCGGAGGAGGCGCGGTGCTGCGCGAAATGCGGTTCCCCGCGACGGCGGTCTCGAAGATGACGGTTCGCCAACCGTCCAACTGCGATCGTACTCACGCGCGCGTCTCAATGCAGCGATGCTGCGGGGTGCGGAGACGTGCGCGCTTTCTGCTCAAACGGAAGGACGGCGGGCGAGTGTATCTTGAGATGACGAATGAATTTTGCGTTGATTTTGGAATTTGAGATGATGAATGAGGTGAAGCGGAATTTAAAATTTGACGTATTGATAGCTGGAGTTGATTGATGCTGGTTGGTTTAGTTTGAGAGTTGAGAACGATGACAGAGACGAGTGATGTCCGGCGGCGTGCGACGGATCTGCTCTTTGAGCGATGGAGGTCGCGGGGTCGGAGCGTCCGACCGGTGGTGAACGCGAGTTCTTGCCTGCACGATGAACAGCGTGTGCGGCATGGAGAGAACTCGGACGGAGCTGACCAGAGGAGTCGAGGTGTTGAGCACAACCATGTGCACTCGGCTGAGTACCTGATCCGTGGCGAAGCCCGGAGTGCCGGAGAAGCCGTGTTGCTGGTCTGTCTGAGCTGTCATCGTGTTCGGCGTGCGTGACTTACGCGGTGTTGGAGCGCGTGTTCGGCGTGCGCGACTTACGCGGTGTTGGAGCACGTGTTCGGCGTGCGTGTTCGTTTTTGAAGAGGTCACCAATGTGGCGCGCGTAGGTTTTAAGTGATGTTCACGCAACTTACGCGGCCAACATAAACAGGGGGGATGAAATAAATACACTCGGGTCGGTTTTGCGAGTAGACGGTATTTATTGTAAGTCAGATGTTAATGAACAGTTTTGATTAGCCAGTGGCGAAAATGTCGGCGGCGCTCGGGTGCGGCGTCATGTGAGTCGTGGGCGCGCGGTGTCGTCGTAGGGTAAAAACCAAAGTCGTGCCTCGGGGTGCCGTGAGCGTACCAGTGGTAGCGGCGGCGTGCTTGCGGGCGTGCTGACGTGGTTTTTAGACGGGACGACGAAACGCGGACACGTGCGTCATTGTGCGGCGGTTTTTGGACGGCGTCGAAACATGGCGGCGGGACGGACTGTGCACGTCGTGTACGTCGGTTGACGGTTGCCGAGCGAGAGACAGCGTTGGCAGCCGCCCGACACTTCGGGGTCGCGAACGACGCGGAGGGCCGAGCGGTGTTGCCAACACAGGGAGCGCGACCGACATAGGGAGGGAGCATGTGGTGAAACACTGGTTCGCCACAATATTATGGTCTACTATCAGAAATCAGTTATCAGTTATCACTAATATTACTACCGTGGTACTGTCTACTGCTACTACCAGCTCTTTACGCTTGAAATCAGAGTTGAGAATTTACGTCATTCGGTGATTCGGTCTTTTGACCGTAAACCGATTTGATTCGTTGGGCCATTATTGTTCTGTGACATCATCAGTCAAATCACTCAAACCGAACTGAATACCGAATGATCTAAAAACCATATGACCGAAACCGAATCATTTAGACATTACATTCGGTCGCAATTCGGTCACTAGACTGATTCGGTCATTTTGATTCGTTCGTTCGCGACCGACCCATCTCTATAACATTTACATTTGCGAAGAAAACCGTGGCTTTGTTTGAGTGTGCACCACATGCTTTTTGTTTAACGAATTTAATATTTTATAATATCACCAACATAATAATGCTGACCAATCAATTGTTTTTTTCAACTTTCTTTATTTGTTTTTATTTATTAACTTTAGAATGAGCAATAATATATACAACGTGAGCGGGAATTGCCGGCTGTATATTGGGACCGAAGACCGCACCCGACGTAAGCATAAATTTGATTAATCTATATTTAGTATTTACAATACATACAATTAGAAACGAATACAATTATATCTACCCGTTTCAGAATGTTACAACTGTGGCAAACGGGGACACCTCTCCCGGGATTGCGGTGAGTGTTTACTTTACATATTCCTTAATAACAGTCTTAATATTATGTATATAAATTGTAAATTATATTGTAGCCAAGTCCAGAGGTGTAGGTGGTGGCCGCGATGGTGACGGTGGTAATCGGCGGTTAGGTGGTGGCTTCGGCGACGGCAGTGGTCGTAGTGGTGGCCGGCGGCGAGGAGGTGGTGTCGACGTCGTCAGTGGTCGTGATGGCGTAAGGTGTCGGGGAGGTGGCAGTGGTAGGGGAGGTGGCAAGGCTTTCCGTGCTAGGCCCCTCTCCAGATCCCGCTCCCCAACATCACGACCATCGTCAAACGTAAGGATATATATTTATATTTAAAAATAAATCTAATTACATTTCTATATAAATCTAACTAAACGAATAATTTTCAGGAGGTTCGTCGGCGACAGTCGCAGAGCCGAGCGGCCGCGGCTCGACCGTCCAACGCTGTAAGTATATATTAGTATAATATTTAAAGATATATTAGTAAAATAGGTATTTAAAAAAATATTCAAGTTTTCGAAATTGATAAGTCTAATTAAATGAATAATTTTCAGGAGGTCCGTCGGCCACGGTCCACCGGAGCGGCGCCACCGTCGCGACCGTCCAACGCTGTAAGTATACTCGTATATTAGTATAATATTTAAAGATATATTAGTAAAATATTTAAAAAAATATTCAAGTTTTCGAAATTGATAAGTCTAATTAAATGAATAATTTTCAGGAGGTCCGTCGGCCACGGTCCACCCGAGCAGCGCCACCGTCGCGACCGTCCAACGCTGTAAGTATATATTAGTATAATATTTAAAGATATATTAGTAAAATATTTAAAAAAATATTCAAGTTTTGGAAATTGATAAGTCTAATTAAATGAATAATTTTCAGGAGGTCCGTTGGCAGAGAACCGCCCGAGCGGTGCCACCGTCGGGGCCCTCCAACGTTGTAAGTATAATATCTTAGTATAATATTTAAAGATATATAAGTAAAAAATTTAAAAAAATATTCAAGTTTTCGAAATTAATAAGTCTAATTAAACGAATAATTTTCAGTCAACAGATGACATGTACGTGACGGCGGTGTCGACACCGCGAGCTAATGTCGTAAGGATATATTGATATATTTAAACGTTTGATATTGATAAATCTATTTTATTATTTTTACATTATTTCCAGAAAATATCAGATCTCTCATACGCCGCCGCCGTGCAACGATGTAAGTATATTATATAGATACTTGAGTTTTTGATATTGATGATTCTAATGAAACCTATTTTTTTCAGGCGCTGATAGCAGACAGCAGTAAGTTTTTAACAGGAACATCTTTTCTCAACAAAAAATTTGCTATTTTTATTTGTTTTGTTTTTTCAGATAATCAATAAAGATTTTTTACATCATGACTTTATTTAATTTCTTTTCCTTTTCAACTTTTTTATATTAATATTATGTGTAAATTGCTATTAGTTACCAATGCATATAGTTCATACTATTACAACACAACAATCAGAAATAAAGGTTCTAAGAATGTCAGTGACCTAAGGTATTGCATGGGATATATAAAGATTTGCATGTAACAAATACACCATCAGTAAGATGTCATTAATTAGTATATTGTATTGTTATTGAAATTAAAATATTTCATAACTACAATGAGTAAAACAAATAGGTACAACCTCAATTGAATACATTTTGAAAATATCAATAATTTAATTTCATGTGTAAATATTGTTCAAACGTCAGACATAAAAATACCAATAATATTATAATTTGTACAGTGGCATTACTCTACTAAAATAAATAAATGAACAGTCTACTAAGTTACTATAATATGTACAACTATTGAATGGTGGTTAAACGTTTAGCATAAAAAAGTGAATAATAATATTATTATATTTTGTATCACTACTATCAGCAATGTAGTAGGTAGTAGCACACAGTTGCACATCACATGATGTTATATATATTATCGTTATCAAATAAAACTAAGTAGAAATAAATGTAAATAACATCATACGCATTATCTTCTCATTTATATAGTATGCATTGTTATTAGTTCATATTTTTTCATTCTATTATAGTTAGGTTATGTTATACTTATGAACCGAATAGGACAAAAATGTTGTGCTTATAAAACAAAGTATTTAATTAATTAATTCACTCTTTTTGAGGGGATCGATTCCCAGTCCCAAGAAATGTGTGTATTTTAAATGAATTGTTACAAAATGTATGTTTTCCAAATTATTTATTATTATGATATACAAAACAAATATTGTCAATGTTAATATATATTTAATTTAATGAACTGCAATTTATATACACAGCAGCAATAATCTAATAATTGAATACAAATCACAATATAAATCAACTGAAAGAATCGCATAGAAAGAAATACAATTATTAATTAATAGTGCTTAAAACAAAACAAATACTCTTTTGCCGAGTAAAACATATAATTATATAAATGTAAATTATATAAATATTGCAATAATTACATTTATAATAGTATATACGGTCACAGTAGTAGTAATATATTAGTAATAGTAATAAAATATCAATCATTAAAACTAATTCTCTATTATTAATTAAAATATGAAAATCATGTATACAATAATTATACGTGAAATTGTATAAAATTTACATTTATAATAATAGTAATACAATTAACTCAAATCTCGACCATTAATACAATACAACAGTTCAGGGGTGTACACAATATTATTAATATTGTGAGTACAGTGATATTTACATATAAATAACATAATACAATGCAAATAGAATAAAGTAATTAATCAATCATTTATACAGTTTACATTAATTAACAGCAGTTCATGGTTGTTTAGTGTACAAAACATATTATTAATGTTAATAATATTTATTATTAGATAAAACAAAGAAGAAAGAAATACAACTATTAAATGGTGTTTAACAAAAAACCAAATACTCTTTTAGTGAGTGAAACAATTAATAAAATGTCAACTATGGAAAATTATATACATATAATAATTATAATATGTGAAATTGTATCAAATTTACATATTTTATAACAATATAAGTATATATTATACAAACGGTAGTAATATAATAGTAATAAGATAAAATGTCAACCATTAACACAATATAAATTAATTAATACTAAAAATGAATACAATGTCAATTATTGTAATTTACAATAGTAATAAAACAAAGTAAATGTTATTTACATCATATAATATAGGAGAAAATGTTCCATTACAAATAAAATACAACATTTACAATAAATTGTCTGTAGTATCTGTACTATATTATCATACTATATTCAATAGTATATGGTACAAGACAAATAACACAGACATTACATACATTGTTTGACATCAGTTACGAATTCACATTATAGTGAATTCGCATCCAGAGAGAACCACGAGGAGGTTGTCAAACTTTCTCTCCGTTTAGCCCGAAGGCAAGGCCCACGAAGCACCTCCACACAGACCACGTAGAACAGCGGTGTAACGTATTAAGTTTGAAAAAACTGTTACACATGTTAGGTTTAAAGTCAACCAGACTATCATCGGGCGCATGTAGTACACAGACCAGTATAACAGCGGTGTAACGTATTATGTTTGAAAAATATGTTACACATGTTAGGTATTATGTGATACCTCCAC